GGCTCGTTCTCAGATCGACTTGTGGGCGGCTCGCAGGGACAGAGTGAGACTGTGCTCTATGATGAACTGGAAGAGATTGCCTGGCTACAAGCCGGAGGAGGGAGCAGGCCTCGGCCCCTTTTGGAAGCTGCTGAGTGGCAGGGTCTGGGCACCTGGAGGCCTGTGGGCAGGGGCCGGGGCAGGCGGCCGAGCCAGCCTTCAGGGAGGCAGGTGGGCACGAGGGAGAACCTGGGGCTCAGGTTCCAGTCCTGCTGCTTGCTGTGCGACCGTGGGCATGCCACCCGCCTCTCTGAGCCGGCTTCGCTGTGGGAGGTTGGGGCTCCTGGGAGAGCCCACCCCCGGGACGTCGCCAGGAGGCAGAGAGGCGGGCAGCCAGGTCTGAGGGCTCGTGGCGTCCCGGGCTGTTCTCTCCGTGCCTGCCGGAGGCTCACCCAGGGAACGGGCAGGCGGGGCCTTCTCAGACGCACAGGCTCACTCCCTGGGGTCTGGTCAGCTGCCCACTGGCCATTTGTCTCCTGGGTCACCAATTATCACAAGGTTGGTGACTTTTTTGGTTTCTTTCTCTCTTTTTTTTAATCGGGGTCTCACTTTGCCGCCCAGGCTAGAGTGCAGTGGCACAGGCGTGGCTCACCACAGCCTCGACCTTCTGGTCTCCGGCGGTCCTCCCACCTCAGCCTCCCAAGTAGCAGGGAGTACAGGCCTGCGCCCCCACGCCTGGCTAATTTTCTTTTTTTGTTTTTGGTACCCATGGGATCTCGCTATGCTGCCCGGGCTGGTCTTGAACTCCTGGGCTCAAGCAATCCTCCGGCTTCGGCCTCCCAAAGTGCTGGGATGTCAGGCGTGAGCCCCCGCGCCCGGCCTGTGTTTCCTTTTGAGAAATTGTGATAACCGTGTAACCGAAAATCCACCGCCCTCGCGCTTTGTAAGCGCACAGGCTGGTGTTCAGCACATCCCACTCTTGGGCCGCTGAGCTCCAGAACGTCCTCATCTCGCAGAACGGGAGCGCTCCATCGTGGTGGCTGCTCAAGCGACGCGGTTGTTCCCTGACCGGCCTGGAAGCCGGCAGTGCAGCCAGCCTCGCGGGGCTGAAGCCCAGGTGCCGCGGGTGGGCTCCCTCTGGCGGCCGGGTCGGGAGGCGCCCGCCGCCCACACGCCCTGGCAGGCGTCCCTTCCCCTGACATCATCCAGCCTCTGCTTCTGCTGCCAGAGCTCCCTCCGCCTCCCTCTCTTGAGGACGCCGTGATCACATCGAGGGCCCACCCGGATAGCCCGGGATAACCTTCCCGTCGCCGGAGCCGCCGCCGAATCGCGCCTGCGAAGTCCCCTGCGCGGAGGACAGCCGGGCTGGGCTCGGGGCGATGTGCCTCCCTAAGGCCGGGGCAGCGGGGCTGGGCGGAGGGTGCTGGACACCAGACGTGGGGGCGGGTGGCCGGGGTCTGGCCCCCGTGGGGTGCTCAGGACTCCTCCTTGCCCGCTGGGGGGAGGCCCCCGTTTTTCTGCTGTCAGGTGACAGCAGCTACCCCGAGATCGTTGGCTGGACCAGCGAGGTGCCGGGGTTGCAGAGAGAACGGCCTCCTTCCCGGAGCGTCTGTTCGGGCGGGAGGGGCTTGGCGGGCCAGGCCGCGGGGAGCGCTGAGGGGAGGCGAGCAGGGCTGGGGGCCACCGGCAAGACCCCCTCATCGCAAAGATCCAGGCCACGCCCATCGACAGGCTCCCACGTGTGCCAGGCACTGTCCTAGGACCTGGGGCACGGCCCAGAACAAGACAGACCCAGCCCCGGGCCCACGGGGCCTCCCGTGCTGACAAGGGGACGCAGCCAGGGAGGTGAGCCGAGGCTAGCACAACAAGGCACCCGGGCTAGACAGCGAGGGGCCGCTCCAGGCAGGGAAGGCGGGGAGGGTCCCCTGGAGGAGGTGGTAGGGGGGGACGAGTTGGCATGTGGGGACCCGAGGGAGCGGTTCGGGCAGAGGGGACCCCAAGGGCCACGTGGAAGTGACGTACCTCGGTGCGGCGCCGTGTCTGGGTGGCAGGTGCTCCGAAGACAGCACTGTCAGCAGGGAGGGAGGGCTGTCCCCAGACGGGGCTGTGGCAGCCCACGGCTCTGCCCCGTGCTCTGAGCCGGGGGGCCCGGCCGTGAACACACCCAGAGGAAGGCCTGCCCGGGCCCGGTGGCCAGTGTGGACGCTGGGGACGGGGCCAGCCCCCGGGGGAAGGCCCCAGGCCGGGAACCCCATCAGAAGGCGCTGCCTGGGCCCGCCGCCCCCCTTCCTTGTGGCTGCTTCCTTGCCGAGACCATCTGGCTGGCGTTCCGCTCGCCCAGCCTGGGGGGCCGTCCTCGCCCCCACCCCGCGCCCGTCGGCCTGTCACCCGTTGGGGAGGGTCTGCGCCGCCCGGGCTCCGGGCCTCCTCTTCGCATCT